CCTCCAACCAATGTCTCCATGTAGTTAAGGCTAGCTTAATTGCAGCCACCTCCTTGTCCTAAACCACGCAATTCCTTTCCGCACTGGAAAATTTCTTTGACACATAGGCAAGGGGGTGCAGTTTATCATCTGGGCCATTCTGCAATATAGCCCCCTCCCCATTGCCACATCTGAGGCATCCACCTGGACAATAAACAGTTTTGTTTCATCAGGATGGTGGAGAATGTGCTCAGAGGTGAACAAAGCATTAAGTCTATCAGAGGCTTGTTGGCACTTTGGGGACCACTCCAATTTACAGCTGCCCTTTTTACTCTTCGGGGCTTTTCCTTTACTCTTTAACAAATCAGTAATTGGGAGAGTCACCTGGGCGAAATTCGGGATGAAGGGACAGTAGAAATTCGTGAATCTGAGAAAAGATTGTAACTGTCTCCTTGTGCATGGGGGCTCCCACCCCACCACATCCTGGATTTTCTTGGGATCCATCCCCAGACCCTCTCTTGTGATGCAGTACCCCAGGAAGTCCATCTCCTTTTTGTGAAACTCATACTTTGACAGTTTGGCATAGAGGTGGTTTTCATATAGTGCTTTAAGAACTTCTCTCACCAATTTCACATGTAATTCCTTATCTTGTGAATATATCAACATATCATTTAGATAAACAACCACCCCTTGAACAAGTGCTTGTGCAAATCTCAGTTCCCAATGTTCAGATGCCCCCACCTGCAATAGGACTGTGCGATACTGGCATGCTTGCATCGTAGTACCATCCATCTGAGTGAACACTGCCAGTTCTTTTAGCTTATGCACTTTGGCCCCCAACCCATAACTAAGTTGGGACTTATCAGGTCTCTTGTACACCCAGAGTCTATAAGGGCCCATACTTGGATGTGGTCCCCTCCTAGGTGTTTAGCATGGTGATAATCACAAAGAAAAGGGAGGAAAAAGATCTCACCAGTTCTCACACTGGGAACGTTTGTATCTGCTGGTTGGCACCCTTCACAACACGTCCTGGCCTTTTCCTGCCCCCTGAGGCCTCTTGGAATCACTGGAAGAAGTACTCTCTGTGGTACTGAACTCCACAGATTGTAAAGCCCTGGGAGATTTCGACCATCTCCATGACAACTTTGGTTTCTTCTCCTTGTGCTCTTCCCAGTGCTCCCTCTCTTCACTCCAAGGTCAGTTGCACTCTGCTGCGAAATGGCCAGCCTTCCTGCACCACAGACACAGCCCCTTCCACAAGCGGTGCTCCTGATCCACACTGGGCAGTGGTCCTCTGCCCCGAGTTGCCTATTGGCTGCCTGCACCTCGACCAGGCACACGTTACTGGTAAAGCTTCACCAGGTTATGCCGATTCTCAGCCTCGCAAGCCAATTGGATCCATCCCCCCAATGTGAGGGGGTTGTCTTGAGCCAGAGCCTTCTCCAGAATCACAATATTCCGCCCACCCCGATAAAATTTGATTAGCACCTCTTCTGGCCATCCCTGCAGTTTAGCAGCAGTGGCTTTGAACGTGTTGGAGTATTCTTGCACCAACTGAGTCCCCCGCTGGAGGCCCTGGGGGCAGGTGCAGGCCTTCTCTAGTTCTAGTGGGTCTTCGAACTAGTGGCATAAGGCTTGCATGAATGCATCCACATTCCGCAGCTCTGGGGCAGCTACATTGTAAAGTCCCATGAACGGGTCCGCTGCTTGGTTGTGGAGCCTCAACCCCACATAGTCAACTCACTGTTCATCAGAGGCAAATGTGTGATTAGACATTAGGAATTCCCTCCCCCCCCTAAAGTATGGCAAGCAGTGAAGTGAATTACAGAGAAACGAAACTAAGCTTGACAATTACATGCAAACAATCACCCTTTCTCAAGCAGCCAGGACTCTGCAACAACTTACAGCTCTCCCACACACTCCCAAACACAGTCCTCCCACACAGTACCCTCAGGTAAATCTCCTCAGCTGAAAGCAAATAAAAAATACTCACCCCTCTACTAGCTCTGTCTCCTGCTGCTTCTCAGAGCTCATCTATGACTTAACATCACATAAGGTTCCAAATATTTCTCAAATATACAGTAGTATTCAGTACATGAAATACAAGAAATACAATAGATAGGCTGAAGATTTAAAGCAATATCTAACATTTACTATTTGACACTCCCAAAAGAAAGACTTCACAGATTCCAATTTCACAATTTCAATGGTCTGAAAAACATGATCTTCGAATGTCCATAAAGCAAGTACATCCACTTCTTAAGACTTAAGATAAACAATATAAAGTACGTTGCAATCAGCAAGTAGATCCAGTTCTTAGGACTTGAGACAAACAATAAGAAATAGGCTGCAGTCCACTCATCCTCCAGATTATTTAATGAGTTTTCGATCCCTTCATCGGGACTGCAAACGGGAACTCCCAAAGAGGCACAGCCACAGGAACTTCTCAGTCAATAATGCCTCCAAACTGTCTTATTGTACAGCAATGTCTCTAAAGTAAAATTATATACAATACATGTAAACATCAAGATCGCCTTGCCAATAAAATTTGACTTGCCGATAAAGATTACATATCTTACCAAAAGTGCCTTATTTTCTTTTATTCATGATGGATACATATAGCCTGACTCTGTAGGTGCTCTTCCATCTAAATAAATGTAAAGACGGCTCTTGAGAGCTATCATGTATCTCCCAATACTTAAAGCCCATTCATGCCTTCCAGGTGCAAATTAACTAATCAGCTTAATAGTGGTGTCAGTTAAGTTGAGTCCCAAAGGTTCACGTGCTCCTAATTTAAAGTTGAATTCTGCTTCCTTTTGTAACAGAATCCTTTGTACATTTTCTTTTCTAAAATATGCAACATTTTATATCTTCTATGTTGTGCTTCTGTTCCTGCCAAGATCATATTTTTCAGTCCATTGAAATCGTGAAATTGGAATCTGTGATCTCTTTCTTTTGGGAGTGTCAAATAGTAAATGTTAGATATTGCTTTAAATCTCCAGCCTATCTATTGTATTTCTTGTATTTCATGTATTGAATACTATTGAATGTTTAAGAAATATTTGGAGCCTTATGTGATGTTAAGTCATACATGATTTATATTTACTCATCTATTTCCTTACATTATAGTTAGCTTCTCAGAGGTCAGCTGGGTCAGCTCTGCTTTGTAGAAATTTTGTAGAAAATCAGGAGTTTCAAGATCAATTTGGCCTGTTTTCTTCCAAACAAAGGGTTTTGAAGAATTATGAGGGAGAAATTTCTGTCTGTCTCTCTGTCCAAGATACCAATATTCTCTGCTACGACCAAGAAATGGGTCCCAGGGTGAGGCTATGCAGATAGAAAGAGGCTTAATTCACAGTGCTTTTCCTGCCCAGCCCTTTACTTCCTCCCATATAAATGAATGACCACCATTCATTCTTATGCATATAGCAGAGAGGGCAAAGCCTGTCTCCTGCTATTATGGGCTGTGTGGACTAAATGAATGACCACCATTCATTCTTATGCGAGGGCAAAGCCTGTCTCCTGCTGTTATGGGCTGTGTGGATTCCACTAACAGGGAGCCCAGGTACATGCAACATGGTGCAGAGATGCACTCCATATTACATAGATCATAATGGTGGGCATATTGGTATATAACAGTATAGCAGAGAATATTTATTTCAGTTTTTTTCCACTCTTCCTCCAAGGATACAGTAACATGTGGCTCTTCTTTCCATTTATCCTTGGAATAACATTGTCAGGCAGATTAGACTAGGTGATGAGCCTAAGATCACATAGTGGGTTTCGTGGTGAGTAGGAATTTGAGCCAGGGTCTTTCCAGACTTTCCGACCATATCCATGGTGGCCCTCAATAAAGCAAACTGATCAGAATTTACTAGAGAAGTTTTATTTCTTGACAATGAGGAGATTATGTTTTTTGGATTAAGCAGAAAGGAGGCAGCACCTTGCTTGAAGAGACTGGAGGAGACTATGGGGAAGTGAAGAAAAGGCAGCTCCAGTATGCACTGTATGCACTGCGGGTACCTACAGATACTACTCTGGCAAAATAAAGCTTTGGACCAATTTGCATATTTTGTGGGAGATTTGTGATTGGATCTCTCAAAAGCTTTTTAAAAAAAATGAAATGTAGGGGCCACTGATCCCAGCAGTGGGGAGAAATGGTTTTTAACTATTTCTACCCCATGCTGTATTTTTCCCCTATCAAAAGTTGCCCCCCTCCATGGCTGCGAATTGTTCTGTGCACAAACAATAGCCTTATGTGTAATTTCTGTAGCAGAAAGGGTTAAACACCTCCCCCATGCACATATCCACACACACTACTCTTATCAGATTTTGCCTGCTGCAAATATATTCACAGTTTTGTTTTGTTTTGAAAGCCAGGAGATCCAGTCATGGGTGTGAGTTTTAGGCTGAAGTTTGGTTAGTGAGTTAACTTCACAGGAGTCCATTTCACAATTAGATTCTCACTGACTATGATCCTAGATGTACTTTAAGTGAATTCTGCTGAAATTAGTATGATCAGTTCCCAAAAATACATTTAGAATAGATGTCCAAGACTGTTTCTCTCCCACCAAATGTGTTCAGTGCTGAGAAGTTGGTGCTTTTTTGCAGTCTTCCACATATTTCCCAAGAGAAGAAAGGCTCCTTTTCTAAGATATTACCACACAGTTCCAAATTAGGTTTCTTTGCTCTGCTATGCCTTTATCTTCATGTCTCTTGCCACAGTCTAACATGTGATAGAGAATGAAACTGTCTGCGGCATTTTCTCATTTACTTTCAATTAATGTAATAGAGAGTGGCTTATTTGTGTGGCTATTTTTTAAGAGAACTTTGCTGCAGAGGTGTGTCTGTGAATGCATTAATTGTTCTATATGTTTCTTGATTACAGCGCTGAAAAGCCCCTCTGCCTTCCATGAGCAAAAGAAGACTTTGGAGAGAGCTAAGGTAACACCCGAATAGGCATCTGAGTAGAGGGGGATGAAGCTAGCTTCACATCTGTGTAGAATGTAGCAGATCCAGACACATCATAGCAGGAACTGAAAGGACGAGAATAATACACTCACTAGATATGTTTAATCAGGCTGTCCTTCTCTAAACGCAGCAGCGTACTACTGTATAGTATTATTGGAGGTTAAAATGCTGGCAAGTGTCCCAAGAGAAATTAGATGCAGGTTCTGGATGCTGTATTTTGCAGACCTTGAAAGAAATCTCAGAATGAAGCCTTGAACCTAACATCTGTAAGCACAATACTGCCATTTCCTTTTCTTGAGACGCAGCAAAGTGCCTTTGGGCTGTTGACCTGTGCTCTGTCTCTTGTTGGCACCAGTTATCAAGCATAGTTTTAGGCATTGTTAATCAAAGCTAATAGGGAAAGATAAGATTAAGAGGCCACTCCCCTAAAGTAGACCATCTGGTGATCGGGTTACATTTAGAGGAACTAGAGCACATTCCCAAGACTTCTTTGCAGTCTGCAGCCACCTGGGAAAGTGAATTTTCTGTCTTGCTGCTACTGTTGTACTGGGCCTCAATTTGTCTGGATGCTGAAGTCAAAGGTTCCTGTTTTCATTAGATGAACATTCTCCACATTCCACACTGCACAAGAACTGATGGCTGTGTAACACTTGTGTCTGGAGGTTCCAAATCATGTATAGAAAGAGCCCAGCCCCATGTGACAAAGGCTCTTTCTGTGTTTGGGATGAGACAGTTTATCCTCCAGATCCAGGCCAGTAGTGTTTATCTTATCTTCAAAGAAAACAAATGGTTCCCTAGACAACAGGGATAAGAAAGATAACTTCTACCTGAGATTGCTTCCAGACACCTGATGGAAAGAGGGGACAACAGAGTAAGGATTGTGTGATGTTTCTTTTCTATTCAAAGCAGACAGACACTTTTCTTGCCTCTGCTGATAACCAGCAGAAGGAAATTGAAGAACTCTGTCTGCTCAGAGCAACTGGGACAGACAGGATTGACCTAGGTGGACAAATAGTTTAAAACAATTTCATGTGTTCATAGATGCCCCTGTTGGCTTAAACTGCTAGGAAATGGCAGTTATAGTTTACTTCTTAGTTCCATCTAAGATGACATAGTGTCATCTGGCAATGTCATAAACAATGTCATCAGTTTATGACACACCATCATCTGGCTAATTTGCACAGGGTTAGGATGAGGAGGAAAGTCATAAAAGTTAGGACGCCGGACTTTGGGATCTTCTTTTGGCACTGTGATTCTAAATCCACCACAACATTTTGTGAATCAGCTTTCAAAATGCTGCATGTAAGGATGTAGGATATTTTTAAAAACCTATACAGATTTTAAGCGAGCCCATATCACAGTATTTTGTATGTATCCTGGAGAAATCCATGGCTATAGGAGGCATTACAGACCCTTGTGAAAAATGAATGTGCTTAGAAGATTTGAAGTATCTTTGAAATGCTGTACATTTTAGCTGAGACATAAGTTAATATCTCAGTATTTTCCTTCAAAGACTTCTACTGGCTGGTTGCCTGGAAGAAAAAGGGATTATATGAGTCAAAAGTTCCAAACTGGATTCATTCACATAGCAGGAGTAGAACCAACTATTCATACCAAGCGCTTGCTTAAAGTGGTGGATGGGTGAGGGAGGACAAAATCAGAACGTGCCCTAAGTGGTTTGGTTCTGAGGGACAGGAAAGAAGCAAATTTTAATCTACATGAAGCTCTGCCTCAGTTTAATTCAAAAGATTTTAAAATGCAGTTAGCTAAAGAATGCACCTGAGTTGATGTGGACAAAATACAGCATCAATTAAATTCATGCTAATGAGATCAGTGAGTTTGCTTTTCTGTAGCTTTGTATGTGGGGCTGAAATGCAGGCTTTCATCTGTGAGCTGTGTTTAAGAAAGACTCAACTGTGCTATTTGTTCAGTTTGGGAGTTGATTGTGCACTGTGTATTGGCTAGTCCAGGTCTGAAGTATTGCCTAATGCTCTAAAGACAAGCCAGTGATGTAATATTCTCTGTTCTTTTGTTCTGTAGACTGAAGGTTATTTAAAACACAAGATCCAAAACAGACCTGCACACTCAGAGCTGGTTGATATGCACATTTTGCAGGGTAAGACTGGAACTGCTATTCTCCCGCGTTAGCAGATTTCCTCAGTGCTGTTGTCTCCTGTGTGGTTCTGTATTCTTTCCATTTGTTCTTTGGGTGCTGCCTGTAGCTGTGGCAATCCAGCTGACATAATTTTCACAATTTATCTAGTTCAGCACTGAACTAAGCAGCAGATTGTCCATCTTCATCCTTGGAGCTCTTTTAATCCCTGCTTCAGGAGAAACAAGTAAAAAAGAGAGAAGAGAAGAGATTGGATTTATACCCCGCCCTTCACTACCCAAGGGAGTCTCAGAGCTGCTTACAAACTCCTTTCCCGTCCCCTCCCCACAACAGACACCCTGTGAGGTAGGTGGGGCTGAGAGAGCTCTTGACAGAAACTGCTCTTTTTCAAGGACAGCTGTTCCAGAGCTTGTGACTGACCCAAGGTCACATCAGCAGGTGCAAGTGGAGGAGTAGGGAATCAAACCCGGTTCTCCCAGATTAGAGTCCGCACACTTAACCACTACACCAAGTGACAGAAACTGCTCTTTTTCAAGAACAGCTGTGCCAGAACTATGGCTTGCCCAAGGTCATCCAGCAGATGCAAGTGGAGGAGTGGGGAATCAAACCTGGTTCTCCCAGATTAGAGTCCACACACTTAACCACTACACCAAATTGGCTCTCGTTCCTTTAATGCCTGTGTGATGATCCTTGTAATCAGAGGTGCATTATTCTGTAATTCTAGAACAGGAGCAGATAACCTTTTCAGCCCAAGTGCCAAAAACAAAAAAAGGAAACCAAGGGGTGGGGAAGAGACAAGGAGTGTACTTGGACACACTTGGAGCAAGCCAAGTCCCAGCATCATTGCCAGGATTTCAGTTATATTTGTAGTCTTTCCTCCCACCCTGGCCCCAGCATTACTGCCAGTGCCTTGGTCCCTTGTACAGAGATCTGAACCTTGGTGCCAAGAAAAATGGTCTTGTGTGCCATTGTCTGCATATATGCCAGCATTGCCTAGAACTGCCACCTAAGAGGCGTGTTCATAGTGGGTTTTTGTTTGGATCCAGTTGGGACAACATGAATGCCATAGTCTGTGCAGGCGGAACTCTGAAACACATTGCCTTATTTTCCTGGTGCTGCCTCTTCTTGCATTTTTGATTCACACATTACAGCGCACACAGGGGACATATGGTTTTTTCCCGGCAGGCCAAGTAGCAGTGCCCCCCCCCCCGGCAATTTTCAGACTGAGAAAATAGCATAGGGGAGCATGCTGAAGTTTCTTTTCATACACGAGGGTTTGTGTTCAAATCAGACCATACAGGCAGGACCAAGGAGAATTCACAACTCATGTCTGACTGTGACACAGGGTGGGGAACCCAGACCAAGCCTTCATGATCCATTAATTCTTGAAGTCTAACTTAAGCAACACATTGGGCTGCTTTCTTGCATAGAATTCTATTTGGCCCAACATCATGTTCAGAGTTGAGAACCTGTGTGTCAGTGTAGTGTTCATACTTCAGTGAAGCCACACTCTGCAAACAATTAGCACCCTTTAAATGTGCTGTTGAGCAACCTGCAGTACTGTACAAACAAGTACTTTTAATAATTCAGGCATGTTTAAACTGAATAAAACTTTCAAATCAACCATGGGAAGAAGTTCCCCATACAGGCACATCTTTCATCATTGTTTTTTGTGGCAAGTGGTTAACTTTGGTCAAATGTAAGCACCTGTCACTATTCTGTAGTTCAAGTGGAATGCTGTGTGTCACAACTGCATGCAGGTTTGTTCTGGGAGAAGAACTGTATCATTTTTGTATAACTGCTGTAACATGAATATCTGTGAAGGCTATTTCACATTGTTTACCTGTAACACAATTGGCTAGCTACTGTTGTCCATACTGCCTTTGCAGATTCAGCCACAGAGGGGTCCATTCAAGCTACACAGATGAAACTAAAAAGAGCCCGTGTTGCAGACAATCTGAATGAAAAGATTGCTCTTAGGCCAGGTCCTCTGGAGCTGGTGGAGAAGAATATAATTCCTGTTGACTTAGCTGTGAAAGAGGCCATCAAAGGTAGTACCATAAAAATCACCTGCAGTGTCTTGTTGCCATCCTGGCACTCTATACTAGGGATGTGTACCTTGAAAGAAAAATGATATTTTTCAGATCCAGATATCAGGGAATAAAAATATATATAGTATTCCAGGTTTTCCAGGTTCCAAACACCACTTTGATGTTCAGATCCCACTTTGGTGTGCTTTTTTGGGGTGGGGGTGGGTGGGTGGGAATTCCAATATTATTCAGCTCCATTATTCTTTATGGGAAATCTTTATGGAGGGCTGGATGGGCTGTTTTTTAACAGATAGCCCAAAGTTGCAGCACAGCTGCTGGCACCTGACCTTTAAATAGCCCCCAAGTTTCAACTGAAATAGACCAAGAGATGTGGCCCCTGGACAAGGTGACCCCAGCCATCCTCCATTGTTTCCTATGGGGAGGGGATTCCATTCTTTCTCCAGGGCAAAGAATAGCCAGGCACAAGAACAAACAATGCAACCCTTAGCCAAAAGCTTCTCAAAGCAGACAGAACCAACAAGCCCAAAGTACTAATGCAGAACCAGGGTGAGACAATGTGGCAAACCTAACACAGCAAATGTAAAACCTGAAGATCCATCCAATGTCAAACCAAAGAATTGCCCAAGTCAAACTGAATAGGAACATTGTTGCAACAAATGTAAAACCAGAGAATCTGAGCCGATGTACAACACAAGAATCAAAGGCAACATTGAACCTGAGAATCCACTGCAAACTGCAAACCCAATACAACCCAACTTGTGCAAAGAATACAGTGTTGCAGAACCAACAAAACCAATTTCAAAGGACAGACTCAAAGCCAAACCAACATGGCAAGCAGACACTAAGCCCAGGGAAGACACAGACAGAAAAAATAAACAGTCCTGGGAGCCTTAGAACACTGACTCCTGATATTCCCAGTTACCGCTGAATATTTCTGGGATTTTTGGGGGGACACATTTCCCAATATCCCCCAAAATCCCAGATACTATCCAAAGACTCACATATATCCAGAAAATATTGTTAAGGATGTATATTTGGACTGGATATATCCAAATGCACATCCCTACACTGTACACAAGAAGCATTTCTGGGAAGAGAGGCTCTTTCAATGTATTTTTTCTTCTTCACTGAAATTCCTTTAGAGTCATTCCCATTAAAAAAAAAATCCATGTAGAAGAGCTACCAGGACTCTAGTATCCTTCTCATGGTTCATTTCAGCCTGCCTCTCTACACACACACACAAACACACACACCCCATGTCTCTTAACTAGCTGAACAGGAAGACACTTGATCAAAGACAGACATGGGCTCGGGAAATATTACACCGGGCATCAGAAATCTTCCTGCCTTCCACTGCTCACCCTCTGCCTTTCAGCCTTTCTGGGGCTTTTGTGATAGAGCCTATCTTTCCCAGCACTCTACTTATCAACAGAAGGCAAGGGTCAAGCATTTTTGTCTGCTAGATTACAGGATATTGTGCTGGAACATTTTCCAGAACTCCTTGAGTATGTTGAGTGGCAGAGAGGCATCATCTGGCATAACCCACACAGATTCTTGAGGAAGCAACACTGGTCCCATAAAGAGACCTTCATGGAATTTTTCTAGTAGGTTACTGGATGAAAATTTCAAAAATAAAAATGTTCTAGATCTGTAAAATACATTTAGCATAAATGAGGAGTTTTGGGGGACATGTTCCTGCTAAGCCCCTGAGATATATTCTCAGCTGTGGCAAGCAATGTTTAGCAATTACCCATGGCTTTAAGCATATAAATTCAACTGAAACAGAGTTGATGTGTCATGAAACGAGGGATACCAATTACATTCCTTAGCGCTCTGAAATTATTGAATAAAAATAAGAAAAATCAAATAATGTGTCCAAGGGAAAGTTATGCTTGCAGTTTGTGGATTCTTTTGGGACTCTGGGACTTCATGGGTGCAAATTTATGAATACACGCTAAGAATATGTGTGCAGCTTCTACTGAAAGATCAGAATCCAGTAGGAAATTTAGCAATACACCCAGTAAGCAGAGTTTAAGACTGTGGGTTGGATCCAGCACAAAAATTCTGCTTGCACTAGAGCTCTTGCACAACAGTTTTTGGGAGCTGCTTTCACTAAATCACTGATTGGATTCCCATTTGCATTTCTGCTTGTGTAGCCAGTTTTCGAGCACTATAATAGGGAGGAAAGTGCCCGGTGTTTGACAACATCATGTGCAAGTGGAGCTGCATTAACACCATTTGTTTGTGCTTGCACATTGCTGGATCCAAACCCTAGCGACCAATCCTAAATAGGTCTACATGGATGTAAGTCCTATTTTATTCAATGTTGCTGACTCCCAGGAAAGTGTTTTTAGGATTGAATACTTAGCATGGTTAATCTCAGCTCTCATTACAGCCAGAGAATTGTATTTTATTTTATTCCAATTATTGGGTTTAGAATTTTTTTAGCACCCAGCATTATGATCCCTTCTTCCTCAATTAATACTATGCTATGATAGCTGACTGTTCAGGTGTCATTTTCAGCTTTATTTCAGGGATGCTGGGCAATTACTTTGGGGCTTGAGTAAATTATGATAGATTGTGACTTCTTATCTGATATTTTGTTAGAGGAGGGATGTACACATGTATATACTAACATGAAGATCACTCAGTAACTAGTCTGCTATTTCTACAGTTGTGGGAAACTCTTTGCAACACTCTTGATAATGCATCACTTTTTTTCTACTTACCTTCTTACCTAAGATACCCAGGTGACTTTCTCAAAATCCTCAGATACCTTTGCCTTTGAAGAAGACAGCAGCAATGATGGGATGTCCCCAGAGCAAGCCAGAAGTGAGGATTCTGAGGGATCCACAGAATCAGCAGCAGGAACCAAAAATTCAGAAACAGTGTTCCCCTCAATGTCAGGGTCAACTCAGGTAAAACGCTGAGGATGTCCAGATCGATTACATAATCCCATACTGGGAATGTGAGCCACCACACTGTATTTTAAAGAGCACAACCCTTTTATGAAGTTACGATGGATGGCCCCATTCACTTCCCTCCCTCAGAGGCAAGATTTTCCCTCCATTTTTCTTTCCCTGTACTGACTGAGCTGCCCTAGTCATGTGTTTTCTTCTGTGCTGAAGAACTCTGGCTGTCCTACCCTGTCACAGTACAATATTTTGGCTGCTTGCTCAGTCCAGGAACCTGAGGGAAGGATGAGGAGCCCACTTTAACTTAAACAACTTAAATGGCACTTGAGGCTTTTTGAAAATCAAAAATAACAAAAAATATTTTATTTAACAGAGAGGAAAGGTCAGGTGAAACCAGGGGTTGGAATTTCTGAGGTGAAACCAGTACATGCACAGATTTAGGTTTCAGGTTACGGAGAGTTTCTTAAGCTTTTCAGAGGCTGAGAGGCTTTTGTTCCAGTGTTTCCCTCCTAAGCACTTCATAGAATCATAGAATGTTAGAGTTGGAAGGGAACTTCCAGGTCATCTAGTCCAACCCCCTGCACTCTGCAGGAGCATAGCCAAAAGATAGCCCTACAAAATACTCGAAAGATGGTCGTCCAACCTCCGCTTGAAAATGTCCAGCGAAGGAGCATCCACCACCTCCCGAGGCAGTCTGTTCCACTGCTCAACCACTCTTACAGTTAGAAAGTTTATCCTGATATTTAGCTGGTATCGACTCCCTTGTAATTTCCACCCATTAGATCTAGTCTTACAATCCGGAGCAAGAGAAATAGATCTGCTCCATCTTCTGCATGACAGCCCTTCAAATACTTGAAGACTGCAATCATCTCCCTTTTTCTGCTTCTATGGTACTTCCAGGCATGGAAATATGCCAGTGCACCAGCCACAAACGTCATCAGTTCTCAGCTTTTTGAAAACTGTAACTTTTTGTTCCTTCTGAAAAGGGTCAAACACTTGGTTAATGAAATCAACATCCACTACTGAAGATGGCTTCAGCCTCTTTTCAAATGTTGCTGCCGCTAGGACTATTCTAATAAATGACATTGCGGAGGCAGGATGTCAGTTGCTGAGTGACCTTTTTTTGCTGACTCCCCCTCCCCCATATCCATATTTTTATTTATTCTAAATCAGGGCTTAATCTGAAGCCAGAGGTTAGCAAGGTGCAGCCTTGGAATTTGTTTTCAGTATCACAGTCAAGCTGAAAGAAGCATTCACATGGAAATCCCACCATGAGCTGTTATGATGGCCCGGCCCGTCCACTTCTCTCCCTCAGAGGCAAGATTTTACCTCATTTTTTTTCATTCCCATTTACTGACTGAGCCACCCTAGTAATGTGTTTTCTTCTTTGCTAAAGAACTCTGGCTGTCCCACCCTGTCACAGTACGATACTTTGCCTGTTGGCTCAGCCCAGGAACCTGAGGGAAGGATTGGGAGCCCTCTTTAACGTCACTTGAGACATTTTTATATTCCGAATTAACAAAACATTTTATTTAACATAGAAGGTCAGGTGAAATCAGGAGTTGACATTTCGGAGGTAAAACCAGTACATGCACAGACTTTAGTTCTTATGTTTCAGGCTAATAAGAGTTTCTTAAGCTTTTCACAGTGACTTAAATCTTTATGTTGTGAGGCTTTTGTTCCCATGTTTTCCACAAATACTTCAGTACACTTTCTTTGAGTATTCTCTGACCCTTTTGGTTTCCAGAAGGCTGGTCCGCTCTTTCCAGTATGCAAACCCCTTCTCTTGAAACACCAATACTCATTTTAAGGCAGTTTCTAACCACACCAGACCAGGGATCTCTGCCCTCTTCAGAGATAACTCCCTGTTTGACTGGGTAGGGAATTTTTCTCTCTCTCTCTAGAAGATCTATCCCCTTTCCTTGGCCCAAATGGGAGTCTTTGGCTACTTCCCAAACTTCCTTGCCAACTTTATCCCAGTTCCCGTGTCTGTGTTAAACTGCTCTCAGCTAAGGCTGAAATCAGACTGTCAGTACTCCACTCAGTCAAGGCAGAAATGTGACTGAATCTCTCCTCAGCATGCAGCTCTCTCCGGACTTTCTCTGGCCAGCTGATGCTAACCAATCAGATTTCTTGGAGCAGCCTGTCACTCAAGGGTCTCTGTTTCTGTGGAGAATTAACCCTTTATAGTCCTTCAGCTGTTTGCACAGCACTTCTAAGATTTAAGAAGTGCAGTCCATCACAGAAGTCAAGCACAGAATGGAAATAAATTACAATTTACTGATTGTGTGGATGGGTTCAGGTTGTGCAGTGAGTTGACTGAGAATGTTCCCTTCTTCTGCATATTTCCAAGTGATCACAGAAATATGATGACAGAACCCCCTGGAGGATCAGTCCTTGGTGTAGTTAGAGATATTCTCAAATTCATGACAATTGTCATTGGTCATTGTTTCTACCTGCAATGTGTGGAGGCAGTGAGTTGACTGAGAATGTTCCCTTCTTCTGCATATTTCCAAGTGATCACAGAAATATGATGACAGAACCCCCTGGAGGATCAGTCCTTGGTGTAGTTAGAGATATTCTCAAATTCATGACAATTGTCATTGGTCATTGTTTCTACCTGCAATGTGTGGAGATGTCCCCATTTTGTTTCTCTGAAAGCTTTGTCATGCTGGCATGACACACAGTGCCATCTTCATAAAACCGTACCTGTCATTATCAATATGATAATGCTTCACTGTATCACAGTGGTTGAACATTTGGGAATTCTGTTGTTGTGAGGTGTTGTTGCCATATCCTTCATACTTCAAGGGAGTTGTCAGGTTTTTAGAACATTAAAAAATATTTTTAAAACATACGCATCAAATGTATAAGAAATGCTTTTAAAGGTGACATTTGTCCATCTATCATTGCCTTATTAAGGGGGAAATAACTTTATTAAAGTGAAAAACTGCATGAGATGAAGGGGTTCTTGATGACAGTGTAGGGTCCAGCCAATCAATGACATGCACAGCTCATTACAAAGCAGACCTGCAGAACCAGTATTCTGTAGCTCAGCTGTGGAGAGGAATGTATCCCTTTTCAGACCATCAGTGTGGGAGCTCTTTTTTGGAAAAACAGTAGATCCAGGAGGAGGAAGAATTCTTTCCTCAGGGGCAGTACAAGCTCTAACAGTGGCTAAAAGATAGAATTTATGCCAAAATCCCACTGAGGGCACTGTAGAGGAAATCAGGTATAAGGTTAGCCCCCTGGTGGTTACATAAAATACTGGGTTGTCCTGCAGAGGATCCAGGTCCGTTGTTGACCTGAACATGACATATTTTTGGCTTGGGCTCCCTTCCTCCATTCTGCAGTTCTGTTACACAGTGTACTTGGCATGGGGCACCTCCATTTTCCAAGCATTTATGGCAGAGAGCCCCCAAAATAGTCCATTTGGTTTCCCTAATAACACTGACCTGATAAATACATTTGCCTGAACTGTGTTGAAACATTATGACAGAGAGTTCTAAACTACCAAAAAAACATTATGACAGAGAGTTCTAAACTACCCCCAAAAAACACTGATTGATTGTGATGAAGACTGAGAAATCAGGGGCCTCCAACAGTTTATATTGTATTTTTCTTTTTCTTTTCTTTATGTGTGTGCTAGAAGAAAGTTCTACATGCAGATTTAGGGTACCAGAGTACATAGTGTGTTCAAGATATTCTATGATGACATCCTTGCAAGAATTCACAATCCCAATTGGGAATAAGCAACATTTCTGTTTCTTAGAATATTTTGCCTATTGGGAGACTGGTAGTGCAATCCTGAGCAGAGTTATGCCCTTCTAAATCCATTGAAATCTATGTGCTTAGTATTTTAGTGTGAAAGCTAGAGTGTTTGCGTATTAGGGTAATTATTTCATATGCTGACCACACATTTTATTCTAGCTAGTGCAAACACTACTTACCTCATAATGAATGGAGTGTGTAAACTGCAGTTAGATCTGATAGCTGAATTATGACACTACATTTAAACCCTTCTGTGAAAAGTTGCCACAAGTCATTGATTCTTATACTGAAATTCTTCAAAAATGCCAGTCAAACTAAGATATGCTGGGTGGCCCACTAGCTCCAGTGGTTTTAACAAGCAAGCTCACGCTAGATTAGTCTCCTAGTTCCTGTATGTGACGAAATGGGTGATTATCTAAAGATCACTTTGGCAATCTCAGGGATGATTTCTGGAGACACACATAAAGGCATCTGTACATGGCAGGCTATTTGTGTGGATTCTCATGTGGCTTGGACAATTTTAACCATGCTCATGTGAAGTCTCTTTTCTTGCAGTTTGCATGAGTGTGGTTAAAACTACCAAAACTGCCCAAGAGAAACTCATACCAGTGGCATGCAATGCTGAGCTGTCTCCACAAAGTTGTATTTCAGATGGACAATCATGCAACTTGAGCATGTGAATTTCTGCTAAATCTCAAACCATGGATCTTGTTTTTTCCAAATCAATATAATCTTTGGTCCATCTGGTGGGTATAGTTAAAAGTAAGCCCACCACAATCTCTAGTATGGAGAAAACAAGGGAGCAGTAAGGCTGCCTTGTCTGATGGTATTTCCCTTTTTCCAATGCAATGAACATAATCTCTTTATCTTGGTGAACAAGATTTAGCCGTCTATTTTAAAGAATGTAGTTCATCGCTCTCACTATTTCTCCTTTCTCTTGCCTATCCAGTTTAGCCTCTATTACTTAGGAAGGTCATTTCTGCTTGGCAACACTCTGTGGCCTAGTTTTAACATCTGCCATGGCTTTTCATATGCATCTTCCTGATCCCATAGGGTACTTTCACTTTAGGAATGTTTCATTCAAGCAAAGTAACAGTCCATGTTACAAGCTGCACTAAGCAATGTATCAGGATACTGAAGTTCCCTCTCAAACAGGATTACATAATTTGTAGATCAATTTTAAGAGAAAGGGTTGAATAAAGCATGCAAGGACAACTGGATCTGAACCAGAGGGACTAGTATTGTGGGCCATTTCTGTATATGTCTCTTAAAGTGCTTATTGATAGACATCTTGAATGTGTGCATACTAATGGTCATTATTTACAAAATGTACATTCAGTGGGCTTCTGATTTCAGGATCATTCCAATGCTTCTGAAAATGATACAACTAATGTGACATCTCAGCAGAGTAGCCAGCCAAAAAGTCCAAATGAGTTGAATGGGCAACAAACACCTCCTGTCCCTATTGCCACAGCAGCAAAGGTACGGCATTGCCCTCTTACTGCTTGGGAAGAAAAGTTGTAAAAATACACAATGCTTAATACCAATCTAGAACACCAAAAACTGCTTCTAAGGAGATCTGGGGAAGGCAAGACAAAGACTATAGCACTGTTGGCTTTGTTTGGAGTTAGGAGTTATTGTACCTCCTAGTGCATCACAAAAAAGGAGTATAGCTGAAACTTGTGGCAATGGAAGTACAACTGAATCAACTAAACAAAAAGGGCAAGTTGGCAGTCCAATAGTGTGTGGTGCCTATATGCACCCTAAGTTTTTTTTAGTTGGTCTTGGCAATGGGGTGGAGAAGATATTGAGTCTAATGAATCACTGCTCTTTAACATTTTTGCCTTGAATAGGGAAACCCCACTATAAAATCAACATTTAGGCAGTTGTGAGGAGGGCTTTTTGTATTATTACATGCCTGTGCCTTTAAAATAGTGTGGCCTCTCTTATGTTGTCATGCATGATCGTGATGCTGTCGCTAGCATAGCAGCCAGAGAGCTTTATTCAGAGTCTTAAAAATGGGATAGGCTTCAAAGAGATGCTGACAGATTGATCAGTGTAGCTCACTCAAATGGCTAACTGGTTGGGACACCTTAACTCACCCATCCAAGTACATATAAGGCTAACTTCTGTATTCTTACTTGTGCTGTTGTACAGTCAAAATCATCAAGTGACAGCAAGAACCGCCACAAAAAGCCTAAGGAGACAAAGCCCAAAGTGAAGAAGCTTAAATATCACCAGTACATTCCTCCTGACCAGAAAGCCGAGAAGTCTCCTCCGCCCATGGACTCGGCCTATGCAAGGCTCCTTCAGCAGCAGCAGCTCTTCCTGCAGCTCCAGATCCTCAGTCAGCAGCAGCAGCACCAGCACCAACACCATCAGCATTTCAACTACCCTAGCTCTCATTCTAGTCATCTGAAGTGAGTGGTAATGGACGCAGTCCCTATACCCCCACCCCACCTGCAATTTCTTCTTGTTGTTATAGAAGCTGTGATTATTCTCCCAGAACACATCTTGGCCAGAATTAGGCCACTTTTATTGAGCACATTGATTAAAGGTGTGCCGTTGAAATCCATAAGATTTATAAGTGTCTCCATTTGTTCTGCCTTCAAGTTTCTGGAGAACTTAAGGCACAGCCAAACAATAAAAAATAAGGCAAATTTAACAGGCCTGTCTTCATGGTCCAGAAGTGTAGTTGATTTATTAGATTTCTTCAAGGAAGTCAATGTGGCAGGCGAGAGAAGATTTATACCCTACCCTTCGCTACCTGAAGGAGTCTCAGAGCGGTTTATAATATCCTTTCCCTTCCCCTCCCCACAACAGACACCCTGTGAGATAGGTGGGGCTGAGAGAGCTTTTTCAAGAACTGCTCATGAGAGAACAGCTCTGAATGAACCTGTAACTGACCCTAGGTTACGCCAGCAGCTGCAGGTGGAGGAGTGGGGAATCAAACCCAGTTCTCCCCCAACTTTCTTCTAAGAGCCCCTGAGTTTCCCTGCATCCCAGGCTCCCCAACACTCTGGGCCTCCTGGAGTACTCCCCCCCCCCGCTGCCACCGCCCCTTCCCCAAGTGGGGCTTGTTCCAAGCGACTTCTCTGCCTGTCAGCAGCCCTGCTGGCTCCATCCCGGGCTGGTGGTTGGGGGGAGGGGAGGGGCTGTGGGTCCTGAGCTGGCGGTGGCTGTGCTCACCTTGGCTGAGCAGGCGAGCGCACCAGCGTGTTCCTTCATCGCCTTGCCTTGCTGCCTGCCTTTCCTACCTGGAAGAGCAGCGGGAGGTTGGTGCATGGCACACCTGTATGGGAGGCTGGGCTTGCACCTGGCTGACAAGGAGAAAGAAGAAAAGTGGCCGCCGCAGGAGAGGAGACACCACCTGCCTTTCCAGCATACCTGCCAGATTCCAGCCACCCTCCATCTCTGGGGAAGGTGTCTGTCCTGCCTGCCTGCTGGCGGAGAGCTGGGCCAGAGAGCCGTAGGAGGACCAGACCCCAGCCAGCTAGGGGCATGTTGAGAAGCTTCCCTTTGAAATTAGTAAATGACTGAGTTGGTAGGGGGGAGGGGTACAAGCTGGGGAAGCTTTGACTTCAATCAACTTGGTGCCCCCTAAGAAATTTAAATGCCCCCTGAAAAAGGAAATCCTGGCTATGGGCCTGGTCCGCGCTCCTAACCACTACACCAAAACTGAGAGGGTAAATGTATGCTTATAGATTAAATATAATCTACCTCACAGTGGCCATAGCCTGAAAAGCTTTAACGAAGAGGGGCAGCATTACCATTTCTTGAACAAGTTTTATTTTAGATATCTTTAAAGTAGAAGCAGCTGGATGAGGAGAAGATGCCACGTGGGCTGCAGTCTTCCCTTCTAACAGCACAAAAACACACAAACAGGGATACTGGTTTTATTTTTTTTAATCCTGTCATTTTCTTTTTCAGGCAGCCCAATGAGCAAGTGGCCAAAACCGCAAACTCTTCCCCAGCAACTGTTGCTAACAGTCCTCTTTCTCCTGTGAAAGGCACCTTTTCAGGACAGCCTTGCAATTCTGCTCTTAAACCGGGTCCTTTGCCATCCAATCTGGATGATTTAAAAGTGAGTGTTGTTTGTTGGACAGTAAGTAAAACTTTTCATGAGAGGAGGTCACATCTAAAACCACCATTGCAGCCAATCAGCAGTCACTGGGAAATCCAGGAAAGTGGTGGAGTGGTAATACTGTGCCAAACCCTGCAGTGAAGGTTAAGGATGGCCACCTCTCCATCGGCTGCAGACAGCATTGCAAGCCCGATTTTTAGGTGGCTACCACATTGTTTCCTGATGTCTGCCGTGCTGTAGAGCAGGAAGATGTAGAGATACACTGTGACTGACGTGAAATCAATAGGTAATTGGCTGACTAGTTACAGGAATCAAGTATGGACCTTACAATGGGATGACATCTGTTGGTGTAGTGGTTAAGTGTGCGGACTCTAATCTGGGAGAACCGGGTTTGATTCCCCACTCCTCCACTTGCACCTGGCTGGATGACCTTGGGCAAGCCCTAGTTCTGATAAGAGCTATTCTTGAAAAAAGAACAGTTTCTGTCAAGAGCTCTCTCAGCCCCACCTACCTCCCAGGGTGTCTCCCAGGCAAGTGATGCTCTGTCTTCTTGGTGCTTGGGGGGGTCAACAGTGGGAAGGCTTCTAATGTCCTGGCCCCACTGCTGGACCTCCTGATGGCACTGGTATTTCTGGCCACTGTGTGACACAGAGTGTTGGACTGGATGGGCCTTTGGCCTGATCCAACATTGGCGTCTCTTATGTTCTTATGTTATGTTGTGGGGAGGGGAAGGGAAAGGAGTTTGTAAGCCGCTCTGAGACACCTTAGGGTAGTGAAGCGCGGGGTATAAATCTAATCTCTTCTTCTTCTTCTTCTTCTTCTTCTTCTTCTTCTTCTTCTTCTTCTTCTTCTGCCTTCAGAGACCAATACTGGTAAAAATGTTATATCTGTCTATTCTCTTGGGTTTCTATAATTCTGTACTAAAAGCTCCCAGATTCTGCATGGATAAAACTTGATTCTGCTACTAGAGTGTTATGTAACAGATATGCACAAAACAGCACAGCTAAATATTTCTTGTAGTGTTTTCTTTTACTGGTGCTAAAAATGGTGTACAATTTGATGTTTTTGTCTATAAGGAACTTGGGCAGGAGCGCAGGGCTGGAAAGGCATCTAGGTTTCAGTTAGGAAACCACAGGAAGCTGAAGAAGCTAGTGGTTGCATTAAGTAAAGGAAATTATTTATTTTAACAATGCATATCAAGATTGTTTACATACCCCCCCCCGATGTATTATCAGCAGTTATTAAACATACCTATATTCATTATTTGGAACATGGGCTCGCAGCTGAGCACAGAAATATGATATTTGAATTTGTTTTATATCTCTGCCATTTCTACCACGGAACTGAAAGCAGCTGACATACGACTTCTTGGAGGTCTCCGATCAAGGCACTGGTCGGACCTGCTAAGCAAAATTTCTTCATGCCTTCCAGTCATACCCCTAGAATTTAAAAACTGTTCTGGCTTAATCTCCCTGCTAACTCAGATAATAATTTAAAGTAATCACAGTTTAAATATCAAATAATGTAATCTAATGTTAATTTCAAATGTTCAAGGTTAAGTACTATTTTTGCAACACCTGAAAATGTAACCCACATGTGGTTTCTCATCTGGGGCTCTAGTGACAGTTATTTCTGTACTAAATTCTACAATAACTGAGCTAAACCAGATTCAATGATTACATAGTTCAGAATGGGCATTGACTTGTGTTGGATAAGTTAGCAGAGTAAACGGAAACCACACAGCACACATGTGTAAATTAGCTAAAAGAAAGTTTACTAAAGAAATTAGGAAAGGTTACATGAGATGATAAAAACAATACACTGTCTATCTAGCTAGCTACATCTTTCAAGTTACTGGTTACTTAAAGATGGATACTCTGGTCTGATCTCACTTCTCATATCGTTTTAAAGCATCTGATCTTAGAAGAAAGAGAGTAGGAAGAAACTCCCAAAATGCCTACATGCAAGATCTCAGGTAATATCACCCCACTATGAATTGACGAATGACCAGGCTAAAGGTTACTTCATTATGAATAAGACATCCCTTTTTAGCACAGGAACTTCTACTTGACATCGCATAGGTTCTAAGCTAACTAGCTAACAATTAGCATACATAAACAAACAGGTTAACTCTTTTATGACATCAGGAAGTAAGCTTGCAAATATCCCAACACCCCTTCTGTGGGTCCTGACACCTTCTCAAGTTCATCTACTGAAGTCATGAAGGTTCAGCTACTTGTACAGGCATTCAAACTTCCCCCTTGTGAGTGGCTTGGTTAATATGTCACAACCATCTCTTTAGAGGGACAATACTTGATCTCAGTCAGTCTCACAGAATAATACTTGGCAACAATATGCTTGCTTCTTACTTTGATGCTCTTACTCTTGGATAGAGCTATGCATGCCTGACTGTTCTCAAACAAAGTAATTGGTTTAGATTTCTCAACACCAAAGTCCTTTAGTAGACAGATGATCCATTCAAGTTCACTGCAAGCATTTGCAGCAGATATGTACTCAGCCTCGGTTGTTGATTGGGCCACTACTGGTTGCTTTTGGGTAATCCAGTCAATCAGGCTGTCTCCATTAAAGAACAAGTAGCCACTTGTTGACTTGTAACCAGTCTTGTCTTCACCTCAGTCAGTGTCCATGTATCCAACAAGTCTCAGGTTGTCACAAGCTGAAATCTTAAGTAAGCTGTTTCTATGAGGTATCTAGCCAGTCTCTTTACAGCATTCCAATCGTAATGATTTGGTGAATCAGTCTTTCTGCATGCGATTCCAACAGCTGCAAAGATATCAGGTCTTGACACTACTCAGATAAAGAAATTTAATAATTGCTTCTCTGTATTGGTGGGTGCTCTCTAGCAACACCCCATCTTCAGGTTTGAGGACGGTAGGTTCCGGAGGAGTACTGACTCCTTTGGCATCATTTAGCCCCATGGACTCAGCAAGGTCCATAATCTTGTGTCTTTGGTTCAGGAGAAAACTCTCATTCTTTCAATTTGTATTCCAAGGTAGTGGTTCAGTTCTCCCAACTGTTGGACTTCTAGCTCTTTGCTCAAGATATCTGCAATTTCCTGAACATCTTCTTTGGTTTGACAACATAATAACAGTCCATTCTTATGTGCCATCACATACTGATACAGTCCATCTTTAAGTCTGGCAAGCAGGCAGGTGTCTGCCTTTCCCTGTTGAAAGCCTTGGCCTTGCAGCAGCATAATTAATTTCTCAGTCCATGTCACAGCAGCTTTTTCCTCAGATAAATCTTCACAGAGGAACACTGTTCCAATGTCCAGGTGCTGAACATGCATTCTTCTTGATGCTGCTATACTTAGTAATGTCCTGAAGGTGGCATATTTGACAACAGGTGTAGGCTGTTCAATCACTTCTTTGCAGCTTCAGGTGGTACTCCCTTATTGCTCCTCCCTTATTGCTCTTCTCACAGGAGTCTCTTCTCTAGCCCAGTTTGCCCTGCCTCCCCTTCAGATTGTGGGTCTGCCTGTGGACAGGTGGACTGCAGGCAGCCAAACATCCATATCTGTAAAAGAGACTCCAACCTCAGCTTCCTGGTTGATTTACACTGTGGATTCTAATTGCTTTGAAGCTTAGAGCATATTACTTTCATCAATATGTACCACATTGCATTATTTAACCCAGAACATTTTTGGATTTATAACTCTGTATCCTTTTCCACCTCTAGCATACCCAACAAGGATTCCCACTTCAGCTCTAGGATTTAGGTTCCCCCTTCTTTCCTTGGGTATATGAGCAAATACTTTGGACCCAAACACCTTCAAATGTCACCTTTGAAGGTGTTCTGTTGTATAGATAAGTTGCTGTAGTTACAGCTTCTGTTCAGCAGTGGTCAGACAGGCAACAAGCTGTCTCTTGAATGCTCCTGTTAAGATGTTCAACAGAGCCCTTTTGCTGGAAAGAGTATACCACACTTGTATTATGCTCAATCCCCTCCTGCTCCAGGAACTTTTGGAACTCACTGCAGCAGTACTTAGTCCCATTGCCAGTAAAGAAAACCTCTGGAGCCTTATTGGATTTATTTTTCACAAGCTGCAACATAGCATTTAAATTTCTTCAGCATCTGAGCTTTAGAGCTTATTACATAAACATATACATAATGACTTCCAGTGTCCAAGAATGTCAAGAAATACTTGTTCCCCCCAAGAGAAGGATAGAAAGGGCCAACCAAATCTGAATACACCTTTTGCAAGAGTCCTTCACTGGGAATGCTCTGCTGCTTCTTGTAATTGGGAGCAGCAGCTTTGGCCTTTAAACAAATCTCACAGCAAGCTTCCATTTCCTCATTCAGTCACTTTAATACCACAGTCTTGCAACAACCCTTTCACAGACTGGAAATTTCTATGTCCAATGTTCCAGTGCCAGCCCAAGAGACAGTCTGAATGCTTACATTTGCCTTGTCTTGTATGATATACGGGTTCAGCATCATGTCTCAGGTAAAAGAAGCCATCAGTATTTTCTGCCACTATTTCAATATTACATTCTGGTGAAAGATATGGCACATATCCCCTTTCATCACAAACTTATTTCCTCCTTTTACAATTCTTGCAACAGACAATAGATTTTGACCTGCTTTTGTGGCATACACACATTCTTTCAGAAATGCTCCTGCAGCATCCAACACTCTTAGTCTCACAGCTCCAACACCACAAACAATTAAAGGGGTACCGTCTACCTGTAGGAGATGCTTTCTTTTTCCTTCATCCAATTCAACAAAATAAGCCTTATCATTGCACACGTGTAAAAAAACTTCCAGAATCAAGAAGCCAGAGATGTTTCATTTGTTATTCTTTACTAGAAATAACACATGCAAACTGTTGAGGAGATTTCCATTTAGCATCATCTCTCCTCTTGTTTTGAGTTCTATTGTTTGGTGCAGCATGGCTTTCCCCTCATGGCTCAACATCCCTTTTCATTCTACAAAAGCCCACGGCATGCCCAGTTTTCTTACAGTTAAAACAAACAGTCTTTTCATATGCATGCCTCAATTTATGAATTCACGGTATCATTAACAGACCTCTGCAGACCTTTGTTCCTTAAAAAACCCCAAACCCCTCAACATAAATTCCAGATCTGTCTTTTCTTTCAATTCCAGAACAGCCTTTTGATTCACATATGAGGCTGGGAGACTGATCAGAATAGCAGTATTATTTTCTTCCTGAAACAGTTCTACACCAGCAGTTTCAAGCTCTGAATATCACCATTATTGCATACAAATGCACTCCAATATTGCCTCCCTCCCACAATTTGAGAGTGTATAATTTCTGCCTTAGAAACAAAGTATGCTTTTGGGATTGATGTTCCTATTTCCTTTTGAGAGCCTCAAATAGATCTTTTGCGGTTTCACTCAAGGCCCTTAGCTACTATGGGGCCAAGGGGGCAACACCCCTCCCAAATCTGCCACCCCTCCAAGCAGCTCTGGACACCGGTCTCCCACTGCATGTGGGGATGGTCACTGCCCAAGAGACCCTGGGCCTCATCCTGTCAGGCCCTGACCAGCCACTAACATGGAAGGTCAGAGGGAGGGGCAAAGGAAAAAGGAAGAGAAGGAAGAAGGGGAAAAGGAAGAAGAAGAGAAGGGATTGGATTTATACCCTGCCCTTCACTTGGAGTCTCAGAGTGGTTTACAAACTCCTTTCTCTCCCCCTCCCCACAACAGACACCCTGTGAGGTAGGCAGGGCTGAGAGAGCTCTTTCCAGAACTGTACTTGAGAGAACAGCTCTGACAGAACTATGGCTTGCCCAAGGTCATCCAGCAGCTGCAAGTGAATGAGTGGGGAATCAAACCAGGTTCTTCCAGATTAGAGTCCACACACTTAACCACTACACAAAACTGGCAATGACTTCTGCTTTGGAGGCCCTGGTTTTCTCAAAAACCTTGCTCAGCCCTGGGTAAGAAGAGACTCTCTCTCTCTCAGCTGTCCTTGGCCTGGGCTTGTGGCTCGCTCTGGGCCTCATGGTCTTAGAAAGTGGCACTGTGGTGGGTGTTCTGCTCTGCCCAGGAGCTGCTGGAAGCCCTACTAGCTCTTAATTAAAGCACCACTAAGCTGGTCACTAATCTAATTAGTGTAAATCTAATTAAGCTCCCTGCTTTTGGTCTTTGCTCCCCCACAGACAACCTTCTAGCTATGGGGCTGGTTTTTCTTTTCCCCACAAGTTTTTATCACTAATTGAGGTAAGAATGATGAGCTGAACCCTGGCATCCATTTTTAAAAAGACTTGTTTTTCTGCTTCATTTAGCGTCAGACTTTTCAATTGCATCCATGACATCTTGCACATGTAGTGCACATAAAACCCTGGTCTTCCACATTAAATAGTTATTTTAAGTTGACTTTGACACAAGGAACAGGGAGAGGCTTTGATTTGAATCATGGAGCATTGAGCTGTTTGGCTTCCTCCATACCTTCCCTGGTTGCTGCTACCTGGCTGACTGTCAGACATTCTCTCTGGTAGCCTAGTGATTTAAAATCCACTTTGGTGATACAGCTCCTCTTCCTCTGTAGACTGCAAACCACAGAAATGCCTCTGCTGTCCAAGCTGTCAAAGCTGGCTTTAGAAGAAGGATTCTTTGTTTTGTAATCCAACAGGGAAAATGCCCAAGAAAACAAAAAGTTGATTTCTACTCAAAAACACTTTCTGATTTACATGCTGCATCTCAACAGAGGCTCCCTGGTTCCCATAGCACAGGGGGAACATGCTGGAGGCCATAACCTTATGATGGATAATTTAGCAGAGTAAAAGGGAACCACACAGCACACATGTGTAAATTAGTTAAAAGAAAGTTTACTAAGGAAATTAGGAAGGGTTACATGAGAGGATAAAAACAATAAATAGTCTATCTAGCTACATCTTTCTAGTTACTGATTACTCCAAGATGGATACTCTGGTCTGATCTCACTTCTCATATCATTTTAAAGCATCTGATCTTAGAACAAAGAGAGTAGGAAGAAACTCCCAAAATGCCTACATGTAAAATCTCAGGTAATATCACCCAACTACAAATTGACCAATGACCAGGCTAAAGGTCACTTCGTTATGAATAAGACATCCCTTTTTAGCACAGGAACTTCTACTTGTTTGGTGTAGTGGTTAAGTGCACGGACTCTAATCTGGGAGAACCGGGTTTGATTCCCCACTCCTCCGCTTGCACCTGGCTGGATGACCTTGGGCAAGCCGTAGTTCTGATAAGAGCTGTTCTTGAAAAAGAGCAGTTTCTTCAGAGCTCTCTCAGCCCCACCTACCTCACAGGGTGTCTATTGTGGGGAGGGGAAGGGAAAGGAGTTTGTAAGCCGCTCTGAGACACCTTTGGGTAGTGAAGGGTGGGGTATAAATCCAATCTCTTCCTCTTCTTATTCATAGGTTTTAAGCAAACTAACTAACAATTACAAACAGGTTAACTCTTTCATGACAACAGGAAGTGAAATTGCAAATATCCCAACAACTTGCCTTCAGATAACACTGCATGGATGAAGGTTTGCCCTAACTATACCTGAAATGTTAGAAGATTACCCTAGAAGATTACCCTACACCCACCTGGCCAAAAAGATTTTGAGTGTCAAGTTCAAACTCATGGTCATAAACTTTGGTTTATGCCAGAAATTAGGGTTTAGAAAGCTTTATGTCCCAAACAATGCCAAAACAATAGATATCAATAGGAATGCCTATTTGATTTAATGATACACAGCACAGTTTAGAGTTCGAGTTCAGTTAAAACCTAAAATTTACTCAGCACATAATGCTATAACTCTGTCAGCACATGAAGCTGCCTTGTACTGAATCAGACCCTTGGTCCATCAGAGTCAGTATTATCTGCTCTCTCCAGGGTCTCTCAGGCAGAGGTCTTTCACATCACCTACTGCCAAATCCTTTAACTGGAGGTAACAGGAATCGAACCTGATGCTCTGACACTGAGCCATGGCCCCTCCCACAAATAATCTCAGACTCCTTTTTAAGATAACATGGGGAATGGAGAACCATGTATGCTGCCCTGAGCTCTTTGGAGGAAAAGCAGGGTAAGAACATGCTAGATGAATAGGCCAGCTTGCTACTTTCCCACAAACCTGGAGCAAATTGAGATCCTAATGCTTTCATTTCAGGTGTCAGAGTTGAGGCAACAGCTCCGAATAAGGGGCCTTCCTGTATCTGGAACGAAAACAGCCCTGATGGAACGTCTGCGGCCTTTCCAAGAATGCAGTGGGGGTTCAGTGCCCAGCTTCAGTGAAATAACTACTATCACCTTCCCAGTGACCCCAACAAGCTCTCTATCCAGCTACCAGTCCCAGTCCTCAGCCAGTCTGTTATCCAATGGCTTTTACCACTTTGGCAGCACCAGCTCCACACCACCCATCTCCCCAGCTTCTTCCGACCTTTCAGTGAACGGTTCCTTACCAGACACTTTCAATGAAGGACCGATGTCTTCCCCACAGTTTGTCTTACACCCTTCTCCTGTGCAGAGTGGGTGTGAAGAGAGTTTGATAGGGAGCATTAATGGAACTGGCATCCAGCTTGAAGTGGAAAGAATCGACACAGAGAAAGACAAGATGCTGGTGGAGAAACAAAAGGTCATCAATGAGCTCACCTGGAAATTGCAGCGAGAGCAGAGGCAAGTGGAAGAGCTGAGGATGCAACTCCAGAAGCGCAAAAGGAGCCATGGAGCGGAGGAGAAGCAACCCTCCACACATTTCTTTGGCTTTCCAATCAAGCAAGAAAGCACAGTGTCCAGCTGTCCATTTTCATCCAAGCAAACTGCCTTGAAAGGACAAACCAGCAATTCTGATACACGGAATAACTGTGGGTTACCTCAGCTTCCCTGCATTGTAAATAGCCATTATATGGAATCTTCAGGGCAAAATGGCATACTGTCCTCCACATTCCTAAGCCCACAGTGCTCTCCCCAGCATCCACCACTAGAGACAGCAAAGAGCCCTCAACACATCAGCCTTCCACCCTCACCAAACAGCCATTACCTCCTGTCTGTGTCCCCTAACACTCAAGGTGAAGGGCGCAGCAGTTCTCCACAGGCTAACAGCCTTCTACACACCACTCCGGTAAGGAAGCTTGGAGGGTATCTCCTTTCATGTGTGCTTTTTACTGGGTTGGTGTTACCGCTAATAAGGGGATGGAGATTCACACGCAAATTCATATCATAGAACCAGGCAGAGTACAGCATAAGAGCAGGGAGATTCTGAATTCTCCTGAATTCCGGTGGCCCTAGGAAATGCATAAAACCTTATGTAGGTCCCTCTCTTGCTAGCAAGTGTAATGTTACTTTGGTATTGGTATTACCCACCTTCACAGCATTTTAGAACTCAGGGATATGAGAAGGCATTGTAGAAGAGTGTGCAGCTGTGCCTGAACATGTTATAGCTGGAAAAGGTTTCTCATCCTATCCCCTAAAGCTTTACGTGCCAGAGGGGGAATCCAGTAATCACTATGGTTTACAGTATCAGAACATGGTGCCTTACACAAGAGCAGGTCATTTTCTCAAAACACAGGGCATCTCAGTTTTCACTTGAAATACAGCCCTGCTTTACATGCCAGAGGTGGAATCCAGTAATCACAATGGTTTACAGTATCAGAACATGGTGCCTTACACAAGAGCAGGTCATTTTCTCAAAACACAGGACATCTCAGTTTTCACTTGAAATACAGCCCTGCTCCCCAAACACCTTTCTAGGCATACTCTGGCTGGAGGCGGGACTTCTATTCATAAGCTACACAGCTCCTGATTCCTTGCAATGTAACAAAGTCCATGTCTTCTCACATTCTCCTACACATCGCTGCCTTCAGCCTACTGGCATTTATCACCATCGGTCATCTTTGTAGAGATAGGTTATTGTCTTGATGCCCCTATGAGTCTTTCCCATCCACACAAGGCAAGAACCCCCAAACCAGGCAGCCTATCAGAAGTAGAGGAAAATTCCTCATATTTTCTATTAAGCATTCTCTTATGAGACTGGGAAGCATTCCTAGGTAAAAGTTAAGGAGATGGGTTGCACATCCTTTGCTGTTTTCTCAAGTTTCCATTCATTGATTGACAGTTCAGTCTCATGGGCAAGAGATAAACTCAAGTCTAGGGACTTTTTGATGCAATTATAAAGCTGCACAGTCTCTGCTCAACTAATTCTTAATTTCTATGATTAACTTGCCTTCTCTGTAGATGCCAACACAGGGAGGACAGAAGTATTCTATTCTGTCACCCAGCTTCTGTAAGTCAAATATTGCCCTTCCAGAAGGAAAACAGCCTCCACCATATGCTGATGCAGTGAAGCAGGTAACTGTCCAGTGCTTGCTAACCGATGCTTGACTGGGGTTTATTTGATCTAAATCCTGCTCATGCAGCAAAATCCCTTGTGGTCTATGAGTGAAATCAATTCATTGCTGCTGGCTTGAAAGGTGGATTCACCACTGCAGAGAGACAATTCGAGATGTTCAAGCAAAAACTCAAATTCCGTCAACCTTTGTTTTGGTCAGTGGTTGAGTAAGAGGTTGAAATGAGACTCAGCAGTTCAATCCTGGCTAAAGCAGGGGTTCTTGACTTCTGTTTTCATCACTGGATAAATAACTATGTAAGCAACAGCAGGACTGTGACTTCTTACCAATTTTAAAGATTTTAAATGCAGAGATCTGTGAATGACTCAGCTTTGTCTGAGCACCTAGAGAATATCTTGATCAAGTGGGCACACTTGAGAACATGGAAGATTAACTCCCAAGGACACAAAGTAGGAGACTGCAGTCCTGATCATACATGTAATATTAAATTTTATAGGATTTGAAGATGAACAAATATAATTAGTGACAGTTTGAAGCACAGAGTAGGGAGCTGCATTTCATTCCATGTTAGCAGAGCACTTGAGGTTGCTTCTCAGACTTTTATGCAGCTAGAAGGCACATTGAAAGATATATTTGAAGTGCATAATAATCTGGTAGATTCACTAAACTACTCTGGTATCTTGTCAGAGATAACTACAAAGCTACTAAGGAACTGACAAGCCAGACTAATTCTTCCGGATAGCTCTGATCTGCTTCCTTCCATCCAAGCGGAATTTTTTGCAGCATGTAGGCTCAAATGGCTGACTTGTGCAATTTCCCGTGTCAGGCCCCAGTTGACACTCTCCATCTACCCTATTGGCAGTGAAATACTTTATTAGAGATATGCTCACTGTAGGAACAAGAACTTTTGTTAGGACTGAAAAAAAACCGTGGGAACATACAGGTTACAGGTAAAAGCTTGAAACTCCCTACATCCATACGTCACACCTACCCCTTAGCGTTGCTATGGAAGCTCAGACAATGTTGCCCTATCTAAACTAGCCAGGTGAAAGAGTCTCCAAAGTCGATCTCATGAGAACCAACTCTTGGGGCCCAATTTGAGAAATGGTTATGGCTACTACCCCCCTCAGGAATTCCACCCCCTTACCTTATGACAAGTGAAGGGAAAGAAAGCAAAACTTAAAGAAAGAAACGTTAAATTGACCTGAACTTGACACCCTGCTTTTCTTGTTGCAGCAGATGACCCAAAGTCAGCAGATGGATGAACTGCTGGATGTGCTTATTGAAACTGGAGGTAGGCAGTACCCAGAGGATGATTCAGGACTCTGCAGACACTGAGTGTTCTCCCTGGGCAGTCAAAGACTATAACCCTTATCTGTCCACTGCCTGAAGCATGGTGCCTATGATTGCTATTTCAGAACACCAGTTAGTCACAATGAGCACTATTTGAGCCAAATGCCTGCTGCCTGTGCCAGCTAGTTACAGAAAGACTAAATGTAACCATAGCCATTCTCTGTTGCACGAAGTGTATTTACGTGCCCATCTATTTCGATGAGTTTGTTTTAAGCAAACTGGATTCACTTGGAAGTTTAAACTGTGTTTAACCTTTTCCACAGTCAAAAAATGAGCTGATTATACTGACATATTTAGGCTTTAAAAAGAGAGGAATTCTAGAGTTTGTATCCAGACTCACTCTTTGAATGACCAAGACCAGAAATTGTGTCATGTGTACTGGAACTAAGGCTGTTTTCTTGTGATACCACAAAGTCTGGTAGGCAGTAGGAAGGCCAATGCCAAATAGTGGCCAAATATCTTGCATGAACTGATACAGAACTTATACGTAACATCACTGCCCACAGCACCCACTTCCATCACATTCTGTCCTCTTCCACAAGCTCTAAAATAACACCCGCTGAAAGTACTGAAAACCACAAACATAGACAAGTGGTAATAGAATGGCACTCAGAAATTCTGTATTTTGGTTCTCACTAGACTGCATTAGCTCCCTCAGATTCCAGTAACCCACACCACTTTTGATGTTGCTGGCCTTGCGGTACTACAAACCTTTGCCCTACACACACACAACTGTGATTTTGTCCGCATTAGTCCTTACACATCAGCTTTTGAATCAATACCATTGTCCTGTCTATAATGAAAACTTTCCCTCATATTAACATTTTTCTTGTGAGTTTCAGCTGCTAGCACTTGCATGAATTTCCTTTTCCTCTTATACCAGGCTCACAGAAACTACAAGAACCGTTAATTCTATGCTGGTTTAACCCAGTAAAGTATCACATGTAATTTTATTTACCTAGGGCTACAGTAGTTTATCTGCTGCCATCCTCGTAAAACCATGACGTGTTTCACACTGTTTTGTTCCAGTGACCATCCCAGTACTGCAGAGAAAAGATAAAAATGACCATGGAGATGCTCAATATTTTGTAATATTGAAAGCTATGAGGTAACCGGAGTTGATGGTATAATCCACACTGTTGATCAGTTGTTGTTTTCCTGTTACTTTTGGTCTGCAAACAGAAATGCCTGCAAATGCCAAAGATGACCACCCTTGTCGTCAGAAAGTGCCTCAGATAACAGTGTCTTCAGGGACCTCTGGTACATCCTCCTTACTAAAAGCATCACCTGCTTTTGAGCAAGGCCCTTCAAGTCAGCTATCCTTTGAACATGGCCCTGGTAACAATGAGAGTCATCTTGAAATCTTGTTAAATTCCCACAGCCCACTGGGGCGAACAAATGAGATCACCCTTCTGAAGGGAGGTGGCGAAGAGCCTCACTTTGAAGGGGTGATGGAAGGATTTTCCAGTAAAACTGCTGATGAACTGCTCACACCTCATGAGATCCTGCCAACACCCCTCTCACCCATGGAGACTCAACTTTCTCCTTCTTCTGGTGAAGGATCTGCTTTGCACATGAGCTTCACAGAGTCTCCTTGGGAAACAATGGAATGGCTGGATCTCACTCCACCTAGCTCAGCCAACGTTTTTGGTTCCCTCACCACTGCAGGACCCAGCATCTTCAACATTGATTTCTTAGATGTTACTGATCTCAACTTGAACAGCACCATGGACCTGCAGTTACAACAGTGGTGAACAAAATGATCCCTACACATGGTGATGTAGCCAGTCATAGATGATTTCCACAAAAGGGACAGACTAAACTAGAGTTCTGGTACCATCCAGGGAAGAGAAACTGGAGTCAGCGTTTCTCTGGACATAAACAAACTTTTTCTTACAAATTATCACAGATCCCACTTACAAGCAACCCCAAGCAAAAGATACTCCTCCTTTTAATTAAGCAAATGCATACCACAGAAATCTTCCAAATGGTTTCCAAGTTCCCTTTGCAGTGGAACTACACTTGGTATGTATCTGCCCATTTCATCCCTAACACATAAACCAGCCCTTATCAAGTACACTATATTAACATCACTATTTACTGTAGGCAGACCATAGTGTACTGCCAGCAGGCCCTTTGTGACTCTCAGCACAGTACTTGGAAAGCCTTTGTCCTCGGCATATTTATGAAAGCCTTCTTTCTCTAAAAACCAGCCTGCTTCTAAGCACTATGTGCCTTAATTGATGGCTTTTTTTCATTACTATCACCATTGTTTTCCTGAACACCTATCTCATTCTCTGCCTTTGCATCAGAATTGGAGCACTATGATTTATTCTACCTTAAAGGATCCAAGAAATTAGGGTGTTATGGGGTGTTTTTTTGGCAAGAGAGAGAGTTCAGAAATGAGGCATCCATAAAAAAATCTGTAAATGGGCATATTTGGTGTTCTATTTTTAGTAAATGCACAGAATGTGGTTTCATGTACACTCCTTTCCTTAGTTTGATCATTTTATAAATACAATGTTTATCATAGAAAGCACATGTAACCTTAGCTACAGCTGAGTTGTCTTGCAAAGGGAAAAAATACCTCTCATGGTACAAGGTATCCCATCCTAGCAATTATGTCTAGGAATGAGGATAAATAGGTAGAGTGCATCTCCAAACACTGCTAGTGCTTAAGTCACTTCCACTTCCTGAGTCCCTGTCTTCCCCATCAGAAGCAGGGCAGTTGCTAATACCAATGCCTCAACAGAATCAACTGTGTGATAAGTTTCTTGGTGTAAATTAGGCTAGTGAAAAAACCTTCTAAAAACATTATCTGTTCTGTTGTTTGTGGCCCTTCAGTTTACATTTACTCCATCTGCTTCTATGCTGTAAATTAATGTAGCTCCAGCAGTTAAGTCTGAAAGTGGAAGGCAAGCATAATCCTTCTTCTATCATGTCTGTCAACATCATTTACAGCAAGACAAAGCAGAACAAAATTCAAGAGAACTGCAATCATATTAAACAACCCCGCTGAATCTTCTACCTGTATCTCAATAACACAGCACTTGACTGAAGAATTTCTGCTTCCTGTGAGATGAACCTTAGCATTGTCTCTTAGGGCCTGTATCTGTTTTTCCCCCTCCTCCTTCAAACTGAAGTCAGACCACAAATCAACCCATCCTTAAGGACACCTGTGCCATATTCTATGCCAATGCAAAGAATGATGTCATCAAAATCACGTTTAAATGCCTGTTTTCCTCAGCTGCTGGGAAAAAAACATTCCAGTATTATGGACTGGAAGCAGCTATACAGTACAAGACTCAAGTTCATGACATTCTAGTGCCTTAGCCATTACTCTGTACTGGGCTTCCTGATCAGTTGAGACTGTCATGTAGGAAGCTAGATGGTGTCCCTTGCAAAACCTCCTGAAGAATAGCTTTGAATCCACAGATCAAGGAGGAGCATGTTCTTCTGAGTCAAGCACTTTGCGATAATAACAACATTCACAAGTGTGTTTATTTCTTCTGTAAATCTGTGCAATGTAATTCAGAAAGGTCTGTCAACACTGAGGGGGAGAAAGACCCCCCCCCCATCCATCATTAAATTTCTATCAAAGCTTAAGCAGCTTGGGGCAGCTTTCTATATATGAACCTACTCTGAGAAATTTTGTGAACAAATATAACCAAAGAATGTTACAAAAATATATACCGATTGACTGTGTTTAATACTTGTGTTACTGGAAGGATCATTTGTTGAAAATCAAAACAGCTCAGAAAGGACTGTGTACCCTTAAGTATCTTCTTGGCTGAAGGTCAGCTTGAACTGTACCAGGAGCAGGGATTCTGAAGACCAAATATGTGTGAAACTCCAGCCTCCGTAAGAAAGTGAAACTCCTGAGGCTTGATTGGGGAAAGAATCACAGCTGGCTTTAATATTGCTGAATGTTGTATAAGAAAGTTGTGTCGCACTATTTAAAAGCATGGTTTTTCTATTGTACAAATGTTCACAGTGCACTGGTAGGATAGAATAATCTTTCACATGCTTGTTTTTCTTTACTTTTGAATGTTAATATGCACAAAATTTAGAAGTCATTCCATGGAGTTTTTAAAGGCACTTGAATCCAGACTAGTTTTAGGTGCTACACTGTCATGCGGTACGGGGCTTTAATTATACCATTTAAAGGGAAGCTGTCAGCTACTAAAGTAACCACACACATTGTAAATAAACACACTACCTTACCTCTGTGACCAGCTACCATACCTATTAAAAGAATCCCTGTGACTTGTAATTTTTCATTTTTACATGTTTTATAATCACTGGTACTCCCTTTCAGTCTGTATTTGATACCTATGTAATATTTAAGATGTTTATACCCTACTACTTTTCTCCTCCATTGGGAATCCAAAGTATTCAACATCATTCCCCTCTCCATTTTATTCTCAGAACAACCACCCTGTTAGGCTGAAAGAATGACTAGCCCAGGTTCACCCAACAAGGTTCCATACAAGAGTGGGAATCTGAACCTGGTTTCCTGGTTCCTACTCTAACCATGATGGCTCTTAGTAGTGATTCAGATGTATTTGAAGCCTACCGCAAAGACTCAAATGGATTACAGTATCACTAATTTCATCTTTGCAAAGCATCCTTTGAGAGTGGCTAGTCTAAGGGACAATAATTTGCCCAGGGCAATCAAACAAGTTTTATGGCTGTGCCAAGATTCAAAACTAGGACAAATCCCAACTAGCCATTCAGTCAGTTTCTAGTCCTCTAATTTCTGAAGGAGAATTAGAACAAAGGCTTCCCACTACTACTACATTCAGAAACGAGACTTTCAAAATCCTCTTGATGGCAATGGTGGAACACTAACTCTGCTGCTGACAATACAAATATGCAGTTCTGGGATCCATTTGCAGAAGCATCACACTTCGACACTGGCAGCTTTCTGCTGCGGTGTTGTTGTTAGCCATTCAATCATGTTTGACTCTTGGCAATTCTATGAGCCAGCTCTCTCCACACTTTCCAGTCTTGTACTTTTTCTTTGAGTTGTTCCATGCTCAGGCTGGTGTTGACTTTTATGGTGTCTACTGTAGTACTATCAAGCTTACAGACAGTGTAATTAATTCAGAGGATCAAGAATTGCTCTAAGGACCTGATTTCTTCAGAATGGCAAAAGAGAAGGGGCATGGGAGCCTCTTTGTCCATTAGGTCCTCCTTACAAGCATCAGTAAGTTGGGGACACCTGGCCAGAGGACAATGGCTTTTACTTTGCATTTATTTTCTCCCATCATGTGTCTGACCTTATAACAAAAATAACAAGGTCATAGTTGCATCCTTGATTTATTACAACTGGCCTGCAGGCGGGGAAAAATAGAACTATTACATTAACACTTTGATTCCATGTAGGATATTTTAAATAGAAGAGAAGGAAGTCAGGAAAGGATAAAATAGCTGGAAGCTCTTATAAGCCATTATATTGTCAACTCCATTTTACTTACAGACAATAAGGCAATATCCCTGCACATCAGCTTCTCAATAAAATTTTATACATTTTTTTCTATGGTACAAGAAAGAAAAAGAAATTAACCAGAGCTCACAATGTACAGTTCTTACACTATTTTCACAGCTTCTGAACACTATACATCTTTATAAACATACACTGTAATATAAATGCTGCACCCTTAATAGTATATCATAACAATCTATGATTAATATGCTAGAACTGTCTTGTCTCAGTCATTCACTGAGCCTGAACTGGAAGCTACCTCCATTTCCTGATTAACTGTAAGGAAGTGTTCTGTTAAAATACACAGAAGTAGAGCAGGAGAAAGAGAGGGCTATGGTTGTTCAACTTTTGACAGTGACAAGGGGCAATTACAGAGAAAGAGCGGGAGGGATGCGCAGTTGGGAGGCTCTTAACAAGTCCGATCATCTTCCCAGACTTAGCAGATGCAGAATCCCAGCTAGTTCCCATTCTGATGCTACATTAGATTTTAATGCCATTTAGTGTTGACTGTGTTCTTATAATGGACCACTTTCTTGCAAAGAGAGCTTATTAATAAGCTGGTAAACAAGGAGGAGATGAATTGGCTAAGCAAAGAAATATTGTGATCACCAACTCATTCACAATTCTCCTCCTTGTATATGTATAACAGGGATTGTTTACTGAAATTCTAAATAACGACAGGTCTTAAAATATCACTTTATTCCCTCCATAACTTAGGAACCAGTCTCACCTGATGCAGATTAGGGGACTTAAATACTAGGAATTATTTTAGAGGCGGGGGGAGGGTATGGCGCTCTCTCTCTCTCGACTTCCTTTTTGTGGCAAATAGTTGGAAGAATTTGAACATTCTAATCCTCACAATTAACTGCTTTTAAGAAAGCTTTTTCATAAAAATGGTACTTTTATAATATTTCAGACTCTATCCACAATAAAGCATATTTAGTAGCTTTTCTGCAGTAATTTTGGGTCCTGAGCAATCCAACAGCAGGAGATAGGTGAAGTAGTTTTGATACGATAGTAGATAACAGACCTAAAGCACAGATTCCAAGTCACACATGGAGCCTCTGTGGGAAGGTCCTATATTAGGACTCTGGAGAGCTGAGGCAGGTGGGTAGAGATGACTTACAAGTATTTAAGGAATAATACAGTTCATCTCCACAGCTACAAGCTCTCTGGTGCCATTTCAGGAGATGAGCCAGCTAACAAGCATGGTGCAGTTAGAATCAGTGCTCACAAGCCAATTAAGTTCAACTGAGCAGTTAGATAAATCCTCAGATCAAAATCGGGTAACAATTTATAGGACATCTAGTCCTACCAAAAAGTGGCTTGCTTGGAAATGGAAATAATATATTATTCTCCATCTCTTAAAAGTTTTAACTGTTAGCCTCTTTCAATGCAATGCATACATTTTGGTAAAGCACAATCCCCCCGCACCATGAAGTTCTGCTGAGCCACTGTCCTCAAAACATACACAGTGACCATAAAGCAACAGAATTTCAGATAAATTAGTCTATTGCACTAATATTTGCTAGTTCCAGAAGGTAAGGTGCAGCTCATTTGGCTGCATGAGTTCTCCCCAGGCACAGTCTCTTTATATTTAGACAGACAATGCATAACATCCTTTCTTTTAAATTATCTGTAACAACAATTGGAAGAGTTTGAGAGAATAAAAATAATTCCAGTAGCTGCTGAGAAGTCTCCAAGTCTAGAAATTTACTTTAGGTGCTATTCAATCATGGTCAACAAATAAATGTCATTTGTTTCCACATTTCATGAACATGTCCACAAAAAGAGCAAATGAGGTCTTTCTTTGACCGACACTAACACTGTGTGATCAGGTATTACATGGATGCACTTTATAAGTGACAATAATATACAGACAGAATGAAAGAAAAACACCAACATTATCGCACAAGTTGTCTGGGCAAGCGTTAGAACGCTGCAATATGGGATGAAGATTCTGTACATCTTGCTTTCTCTCAGCACTTGCTCTAGCATTTTGATGTAGCAGCAGTATCAATCGACATACATTGGAGAGCTGGGAGTTGTTGGCATTTGATCCAGGATTTTACAAACATAGCACGCAACATCCACTGTTCGCTCTTCATACATTAGGATGAAGGGATGTTTCTGGGAAAAGAGAAAGAAACCAAACTTCTTATCGCTTCTGTCACACATAAGCATAAAAAGCACCTGGAGCTCCCCAGAGGGCTTTCGTATACCATTCTGTGGGCTGCTGTACTGATCCAGCACAGAGCACCTAGCAAGATCCTTGCTGTAGCATCTACATTTATCATCTAGGTGGTGCAAATGTAAATGGCACCTGTAGTGGTGAGGGAGGGGATTGGAATTTCCTGGCAATCAGGGCAGAGTCAGGCAATGGGTCTGTGCTACTGCTGCAATCTAAATGTCTGCTAGCCCTTTCCCCCCATACTCACCAGAAGCTCCTTATACTTTGGTCTTTTGGACTCGTCCTTTGTAAGGCTAGAAAAGATCAAAAAGATGTTAAAGGAGCAAGAATGTTTGTAGAAAAACACCTAAAATGAACTGTTGGACAGTACAACTTCCAGGCACATGACTCGTTAAACCAGTTTGGCAAGTTTTTAATATGAATTCATTATGATCAATAATACGCTATGAGGCACCATAGCGTCTTCATGAAACCGTGAAGAGAGACAGTTCTACAATAAAGACTTTACCATTCAATAATAATGAAATGCATTGGCTTTTCACCTGGTTTACTTACACATTTAGTAACTGTATTTCTATGTATCTAAATCTGTAAGTAAATCAGGTGAAAAGCCAAAAAGCCAACATTACTCTAGCTATACATCCATCAAGTTTCACAGTTTGTCACTTCTGTATAGCGTATTAAAGTCTCTTGAGAATCGCTAGGCAGTTCTGTGGTTGTAGGCAACCATGAAATTACCCTAGTTTAAATTCATAATACTCCACAATCTCTCTTACCAGTAAAGCTTTCCCCCTATTATTGGCTTAGATTTTAATTTTTGGGCAAAGAAAGCACCCAACCCCCCCAGCATTTTCCATGGCATTTATGAGACGCCTTTGGCACTTCCTCCTCAAGATCTTTGCTTTCTGAAATTCCAGTCCTTTATAAACAGAACTGCAGCAGTGCGATCCTAAGCAGACTTATGCCTTTCTAAAGACCACTGAAGATAATAGGCTTACAAGAATGCAACTCTGCTGAGGACTGCACAGTGAAAGAACTGCTGCATTAGCTCATCCGTCCATGACTCCAATAATCAATGAATACAGATGTCAGCTGTTTGGGAAAGGGGAGAGAGGTCACATTTATAGGACCTCGTTTTCTCAGAGAGATCATTTTCCTTTAAAGCAGGGGAAGCAACCAAAACCATCCTGTCATTCTATCAGTACCAAAACTTAACAGCCTGTGATTTCGTTTTGTATTTTTAAAGAAAGAGATGCTAATGAATCAGAAGGTGGCAGCAAATCCACACAGTAGTGCTTCTGAAGAGTAATATGGCACTGCAATCTTAAACAGAAGTCTGATGACTTCAAAGCGCTTGGAAGGGTATAACTCTGCTTAGGTTGCACCATATGGAAAAGAGACACGAGGGAGTTTTATCATGAAGCTTACCAGTGGCTCCCACTGTTGGTTTCTATAATCCAAGAATGCTCATCTTACAAAAATACCTCTTCTCTGCTTTCTGTTCCACATGATCAGAGATTTAAAGGCAAATACTTATTACATCTTAAAAGTATCTCTGCATATCCTTGGTCCTACATGGTTCCTTCTGAGTGTTAATGTAAACCCAGGGCATTCTGCTGCCCTAAATGGGTGTAAAGTAGCATGCAGAAGCAATACATTTGCCGCCACTATGGACCGGAGCTAGTGGCAGAGGTGTGTGGGAGGCTCCCAACCATGCCACCCCACCAGGTGGAAGGCAGGCTGCCACTGCATTGAACCCAGGCCAAGCAGCCAAAACAGCCCTTTGTAGATCACGAATGTAAGCACTGCTACACACTTTACATACTGTTTTCCTGAGCTTTCTATGTATTAACAGTAACAAGAACTGATTCAGATCCACTTTAGTTTGTCTGCCGTACAATGTGTGATAACTGTGCAGATGTTTATTTAAAACTAACGCAGCTACACACCTACAGACTTGCAAAATTCCCAGCAGCAAGGACTAGCTTGACTCATTCTGTGATCTGATCTGCACCCCATCTCAGCAATCAGTCCCTTAGTGCTTCACATTAATTATATAACAGTCAAAACAAGCCTCACCATGGCAAAGATTTCCAGGATACAATTAAAGGTTACAAAAGGTGTTGCTAAACAGAGATTTACCTGCTACCAACTCACTTCCTCCTAGCGCTACTTGTTAAATACGAACAACTGATAACAAAGTGTTTCTTTGTGTTACTACTAGAGTGACAACTGATTCAGGAGCTTGGAGAAGACATGACATACTGTCTGAGAAAAGTACCACTCCAATCAGACACGCAGGATGTGTGGCAACAATTTAAGGCATCTTGCACAGAAATATAGAGGTGTGATCCCCAGCATGAATCACGTTATTGCCATCAAGGTCCAGAACAGACAGAGTGGAGAATACTCACCATAAATTGACAAAGTTGATGAAACTTTGAGAGAACTCCCGTTCCTCTGAGTTACTCAACTGTGGTGGGTCTCCCTTGACTACTTGTGTCAGCTGATCAAATACACTGTTCCATTTGGGATAGGGGAACCGTCCTGTAGCCAGCTCATACTACAGCAAAGGAATAGAGCAACAACGCAGGTTGGGTTAGTCCAGTGATGGTGAACCTTTTAGAGACCGAGTGCCCAAACTGCGACCCAAAACCCACTTATTTATTGCAAAGTGCCAACAGAGCAATTTAACTTGAATACTGGGGTTTTACTTTAGAAAAAACTCAAACATTAATTTAAGATGATCCAAACAAAGTAAGGAAAGCAATCCCAAACGCTTTCATTTACTTAAAATTATTTGGCAGAGAATTCGACACTTTAATGATGGTCTGGGCCTGGCTGGGGCGATGGCACGCGTGCCCACAGAGAGGGCTCTGAGTGCTCCCTCTGGCACCCGTGCCAATAGGTTCGCCACCACTGGGTTAGTCAATGTCAAGCTCACAAAAACCAGGGAAATGGAGTATTAATGTAGTACTAACTGAACATGTGACTTTTCTTCAAAACAAGAAAAACCTTTGCCTTAAAAACACATTCTAAGTCATAGGACAGTACCACATAAGAGCCCCTATGAGTATTAACAGCTCACCTTATACATTCATAGGCATTACAATTTTGGTTAGATTTTAGCAGAAGTCCTTCCAGCTTACCCTGAGAAAGACTTTGCAGGGCAGGAAATTGGTTGAGGTGATAAAAGCCAGCAATAAGGTACTAATGAGAGCTTTCTGGATGACACAAGGTTCCCACTGAGAATGGCAATCCTCCAGTGACTCACTGTGAATCCTTTTCATCATCCTTCATTTCGTATACCTGCACCTCCCATAATTTAGTAGGCAAATAACAGGCTCCTGGTTTTGTTGTGTGTTCTTGCTGCTCTGAATTTGGGATTAATTTTTAAGGAGCCAACCAATCAACAAGCACAAAGCTAATTAAGTCTGTCTACTGTGGGGCAACAACAGCAGCACAACAAACACAGGCCATTCCTATCCTCTCCACGCCCAGGCCCAAGTCAGATATCTCTGCTCATATGAGGGCAGGCACACCCTTCTACCTTCATGCTATTCTGTAAAGAGAACAAGGGCAGAGTTTCTAATTCAAGCTCAGAGCCAGGGTTTTATTTTTCAGATTTACCATTGACATGAACACACATAAAACTGCCTCATATTGAATGAGACAACTGGTCTGTCAACTCCAGTATTGTCTACTTCAAATGGCAGCAGATCTCTGGGATCTCAGATGGTTTTTCATAACATCTACCACCTGAGCCTTTAATTGGCAATGCCTGGGATTGAACCTGGGACCTTCTGCATGCAAAGCAGCTGCTCCACCACAGCCTTTCCCCTCTATGGCCCTCTAGTGACACTGTGAAGTCACTGCTCTTAAAGTGGCAGGTCTGCCCCAATGAAGTGAACATAATGGAGCAGAGGGTGTAGCCAAAAAAGTGCAAGGTAATAATTAGGCAAGCAAAAAGAAAATTTAAGGAGCAGACTGCTAAAAGGATGCTACAGCCGCTATTTTCAGGAGGGGAGTCAAAAGAACTGAGTGAAACTGAGGTGACAAGAGATGAAGTTCTAGACCAGGGGTACTAAATATATGGCCCACAGGCTGGAACTGGCCCCTGAAAAGCTTGTATCTGGCCCGCGAGCAACTGGCTCTCTCCTGCTTCCCTCTCCAGGGTTTCTGCCACCACTGCTGAATCATAACTCACTTTTGCCCACTTCCCTTAGTCACTCTCTCCTGCTTCGCATGGGAGAGAAAGAAAGCCAAGCCTCCCTCCATTGGTTGAGGGTTCCTCCCCTTCCTCCTCCTTTGGGGAGGGAGGGGGAGGAAAAGAGCCAGAGAAAGCATACAAGAGACGGAGTCCCGTTGCACCTTTAAGACCAACAGAGTTTTATTCCAGGTATAAGCTTTCATGTATGTGCACACTTTTTCAGAGAAAGGGAGGGAGGGGGATTCTTCTGACAAGCAAAATTTACATTAAAATTGCACTCCTCTGCTGTTTACTTTGAGACCTGATCACACACATGCACATTAAAAAAGGAAGGGGGCCAGGAAAGAGATGCAGCTGGCATAAGGGAGTTAAAAGGAAATTATGTTGGCTTGTTGCAAAAAATTGTTTTTTTTTAAAAAAAGATTAGATTTCTCTGTGCCTATTTGGGATTTTATTTTCTTTCAAAAAGACCCTGATTAGTGATTAGAACACTTGGATTGGATTCCATTGTTTAATGACTGGAAGTAGATGGCTAATTATTTTAAAATACATTTATGGTTCCATACATTCCAGTTCAACAGGTCATCTCCCTCTCTCCCCTCCCACCTCACTGGCTGCCTTTCTTCACATTAACCCCCCCCCTTTGTAACTGTTTCATTATCATCACTAGTACTGAGTTGATTTTGCCCAGTCTGAAATCAACACATTATTTCACTTGGAGAGATCCCCCTTTCCAGTTCTAACAGATGGGAAAAAATAAAAGAAACCTAACAGCACAGCTTGCAATCTTTATCACTGGAAGGGAGCAAGAGTCCAGTAGTACCATAACAACTAACAAAATTTGTGGCAGGGCATGAGCTTTCATGAGTCACTGCTCACTTCTTCAGATACAGCTAGAATGTTAGTCCATCTGTCCTTGTATCTTGGAGAGTGAAGTGATTTCAGATGCCAAGTGACAACAGCAGGCATTGGTAATGATAAAAGAAACCTAGGTCTTAATTCAGTCCAGGAAGATGCGTTGTCTTGAGTGTCAAGATCAGTTGCAATTCAGCAGTCTCTTTCTAATCTCCCTTTGAAATTCCTTTGTAAGAGAACTGCTACTCTTAGGTCAGCAACTGAATGATGTAGAAGGGTAAAATGTTCCCGCACTGGTTTTTGAATGTTGTGTTTTCTAATAGCAGTAGAAAGAGTAGCACCTGAAAGACTAATGAAATTTGTGGTAGGGTATGAGCTTCATGAGTCACTGCTCATTTCTTCAGATTTATGGTCCATTATTCTTTGCATCCTCCTGGACTGAATCCTACTGGACCAAATTGAGACCTAGGCTTCCTGTCTCATTACCAATGCTAATATCTTCACACCAAATACCCCTTTGCATATCACACCTAACCCAACCAAACCTGCTTTTGCCATTCAACATCTGAAATAATCTTTATAAAGTTTATATCTCCAGTACCTCGTGTTACATTTTATGGTACACATGACTTGGTCCAACAAAGTGACATTTATGTCAGATCTGGCCCTCGTAACAGATGAGTTCGACACCTCTGTTCTAGACCTAGTAAAGAATATTTTTTTTAAAAAGTAAGTCTCTGGGTCCTGATGGCATGCCCTTGAACGTTCTTAGGGAACTCAAATGTGAAACTGTTGATCTCCCAACCAGCAGGTGAAACTTGTCACTAAAATCAGCCATTGTATCAGAGGACTGGAGAGTAGCAATCATTAGACTGGATTTTTAAAAAAGGTTTCAGAGAGGAACCAGGAAATTACATGCCAATTATCCTAATGTATGTCCTGGGTAAGTAAGTTGAAATTACAATCAAAGATAGAATTATTAGGCACATAGAGGCACAAAGCCTACAAAGGGAAGTCCTGCCTTACCAGCATTTTGGCGTTCTTTGAAAAGTGAACAAACATGTAAACAATGGTGACCTGGTAGACATTATATACTTGACCTGTTAAAAGACTTCTGACAATGTACCTCACCAAAGACTCCTGATAAAGCTAGTCATGAGCAGTGTTCCCTCTAAGCTGAGTTAGTGTCAGCTAGCTCACAGTTTTTTAGCCTCCAGCTCACACATTTTGTCTTAACTCAGGCAGGATGGCTCCAGAGCAAACTGATTTATACAGTAGCCAAATTGCTTACTCACAACTTTAATGTCACAAGACTCCACAGCTTAGAGGGAACATTGGTCATGAGATAGGGGAATGTGCCCTTTCATGGATTAAAAATTGGTTAAACAAAAGGAGGCAGAGAATGAGAATAAACAGATTGTTCTCTCAATGGATCAGTATTGGGGGCCAGTGTTATTTAATGCGTTCATAAGTAATCTGGAACTTGAGTAGACAAGTACAGTGGTTTGCAAATGACACAAAATTATTCAAAAATAGTGAAAATCAAGGTTGACTGTGGTGAGCTCTAGGAGTAAGTAGGCAACAATATGGCAAATAAAGTTCAGTGTAGGCAAGTGTAAGATGATGCACATTGGAACAAAAAAGGTCCCAGCTTTAAGTATGCTTTAATGGGGTGTACACTTGTTAAGACTGAGAGGGAAA